CTTTTCTTATTCTTGTGATAAGAAATAGAATAGAAGAATTTAACACTAAGTAAAATTAATAATAGGATAATTTTAAACTTTTAACAAGCAATAATTGATCAATATGTAACTATACCAATTAAAAAGTGTTTACATAATAGGATGTTAAAGATATAAAAGGTAATGTAAGGTAGTTAAAGGTAAGTAGTAAATGAAACATTTAGGTAGCAAAACTGAAAACCAGCACCATAGTTACATTTAGCAGGTCTATTATGTTACAAAAATAAATTAATAAATGACCCACATGTTAAAAATTCCTATTGTAGAAACATGATCTTTTTCTTTATCAATTACTAAATTTAAAGTTTGATTTCAGTAGTTATTATAAATTTTAAGCCAATAATTTCCCTTCTTGTGTGTTTTAAGTTATTTTTTAATTATGTAAATAATTTGCAATGTAAATGCCTTTAACTACCTACTGTAAATTCTAGTGAGTGGTTTTTTTCTAAGCATTCTCCTCAAGAAGGAAAAAAACGTAGTAAATTTGAAAAATGACTTCAAAAAAAGAGCAAAAAATATTTCACATTTTTTTTAAAATAACTTCACAGAGAAATGACTCAAAATTATGTTATTTTATGCTGAATAACAAAAAAAGTAACATTACTCCTCTGTGTCCATACATAAGAGTATAGTCATCTAATATATTTCATTCTATTAAAATGAAAAAAGTTCAAAAAATTTCGAAATCACACTAATAATGTCAGTATAGTAGTTTACTTGCCTTCAGTTACTATCTATGGTGTCTCACAATATTAAAAAAAATTATTAGTAAGTTATTTTAAAAACTGAATTAATAAAAATAAAATGTTAATCCTTAAAGTGCATTTTTTCTTATACTGATCATAAATGCTACAATGTAAAGTAGAAAGGTAGAGATAATATATGATTACACCATTTTATTTTCTACGAATAAACATGCATTTTCATCCATGCACCTTGTAAAGAATTTTATTAAAAATGGAGGCTAAGGGATGAACATTTAGCATTACTTTCTGAAATTTGAACAATGCAGTTCAAATTTCTTTTAAAATAACCTTTGAAATCACAATTGCAGTTTAATGCAACCTATTGCTATTTTTGCTATAATATTTTTAAGCTTTTTGAAATTTTAAATTATTATCCTCCAATTTTCAAAGAAATTTGCTTAACACTGTATAAAGATAAACTAAACTATATTATGATAAACTAAATTTATTTATGTTTTTAAAGTTAAAAATTTCCGGTCTTATGAACATTTTAGGGAAAAACAATTATGGTCCCTAAAATTTAAGTTGTAATTTTCTATAATCAGTTAAGCTGTAAGTTAAAAAATTAAGTTTCTATATTCAGGGTTGTCTGTCTCCTAACAACTCTGATGACAAATTTCTTTGATGTCTCGAAGATTTTCAACTAATTCTTTGACTGATACAAAAATTATTCTTCTTTTATAAATAATATACCATACAAATTTATAAGGAAATCATTCACGATAATTTATATATTTGTTCAAAATATTTAATTTTTACATAATTAAAACTAAAGAAATAAATCTGTTTGTTATTTAAGTTATTGAAAAAGACATTAAAAATACTTACTCTGATCTCTAACACAAGTATTTGGTTGAGTCGGCTGTCGTACAAGTTCTTGAACAACTTCAATTACAGCTTTGTTTTGAGCTGCAACCATGTCTGCATCATCACCAGGATAATGTTTACAGTAAGTAGTGAGCATCGTTTGTAAATTATTTCTAAACAAATAAAAATGTGGGAAAAAATTAATGAAGTAAAATCATTTCGTTTCTTTTTAAATTGTTTGTAAATAATTAAGGAAAAAAAAAAGGATTTTCATGAAAACTAATAAAAAAGCATATAACATGCAGTATTTTTGACAAATTGGTTAACTTTTTCAACCTATCAAGTACAATGAAAAATAGGAAATATTAATGTGTCATGATATCCATTGTCATTTTCTTTTAGCGAATGCAAAGTCTTACATTTTGAAAAGCAAAGTCTTACATTTCGGATTTTACACATTAAACGGATTTATTTTTAACCTAAGAAAGTAAAAGTATTATATTAAAAAAATATTCACAATTTCTTCTGTTTTCAAGTTTATTTAACTCAAGGCAATGCATACATATAAAAAGGAGAAATATTTGGTTTTTCTTGAAATCATTGTTTCAGAATGAAAAATCTGAAAAACTAGTTTGAAATTATAACTAAAAAACATATAAGCTTGATTTATGAATACGTTGCACAGAAGTCAAAGTAAAAATAACATTATGATAATTCATGCTCAAATTAAAAAGTAACGTAACAATGGTATAAACTATACTAATAAAAAACTACAGTGGTAAATATATACAAAAACAATATTGATTGGACAATCAGGATAAATCTAAACAAAGTATTAATAAGGAAACTAATACATCAGATATTACTTGATTAAGTAAATAACTTTGAAATATACATTATAAAACTATTTTATACTCACAAATAAAATTTATATTTTTATGTCTCAAAAAAATTAATTTGTCTATTTTACTTAGCAAGATCAACAGCACCACTTGAAACTTCACCAGTTAAATCCATCATTACAAAAAGTAATGCTTTAAGAAAACTATACATAAACCCATATCTTATGACATTTTTCAAACAAGGTCTTTAATGCTATGCATCTGTAAAATACAATAAAGAAATATTAAGAAAATGACATTATATTTCCCCTAAAACAAATATTCATATTTAAGTCCCAAACAGCATTAATAAAGGTTACATTTGTATTTATTAATTTATTGATGAAAAAAAGCTAAAGAAAGAATTATGAAAAAAAAAAAAAAACACAGATCATAATATCAGGGATAATTTTCAAAATTGTTAAAAAAAAAAAATTAAGCCAGGGGTCTGTCCAGACATTTTGTGAAAGGTCCATTTTTGTAAAATAGTGTAAAAAATACTCATAATTTGTGAGTATAAAATAAACGTTAAGTCATATTCTTTCAACCAGGGTTGAAACAGGGTTATGAACTTGTGCAAATAGGGTCCGGTTATTGCAAAAAACTTTTTCAAGGAGTTTTTAAATTGCAAAGACATACAAGATTACGCTCAACAAATTATAATTAAAAAAATTAAATTTTAAAAAAAAAACAGCAATTGCAGCTACTAAATTAGCAGAACTGAAAACTACATTAAACATAGTTCTGAAAGAATGTCACGGAAATTCTTAAAATTATTTTGAATACGAAAAAAAAAAAATTTATTTTGAATGAAATTCTTAAATACGAAAAATATTAAGAAAAGACATTCCTATACAAATGAAAAAAGGAGGAGAGGGAAATGTGCCAAAGGCATGGAAACGGCATAGAAAAAAAATCGAACAATTTAGTAACCCGCTCCGTTGATGATGTATGTTCATTTTTGTATATGAAATACAATTAAATTAAAAATATTAGTTCGAAATTAAAAAAGAGTTTTTTCTTTTACAACAGACAGAATTATTGTTAGCTTGTTTAATTTTTAATTTATCAGATTGCAGCTAATAAATGCTTACGAATTTTCCTTAACAACCTCCCTTAATTCATATTTTTTTTTAAATCTCTGCACAGGTTGTTCCTCAAAGATGCATAATCTTCATCAAACATGCTAGTAAAAGCAACAAAAAAAAATTGTTGCAAATTAATATTTAACCCAGGAAAATACATAAAACGCCATTCATATTTGACCAATTACAGTGGAGATAAGTAGAGTGAATAAACAGCAAAACACGTCTAGTTGGAGGTTCAAACCTGAAGGTTGTTATAATAGTTCAAACCTGAAGGTTGTTATAGAGGTTAAACCTGAAGGTTTAAAGAAGTTTGTTTCCTCCACTACTTTGTTTCCTCCTCCAACCAAACCTGATTCGTTGCTCCTGAATTTTTGAAGAGGGTTTGAAAAATTGGTGGTTTTTAGGAAACATTATGCATACTGTATAAAATAATAATAATAAAAATAAGCCAGAAAATTTAAATTTGCTTTTGTATGATTTCAGCAATAAATTTAGCCGTTTTATCTTTTTTTTTTTT